GAAAAGAGAGTAAAAGTAATCTAGGCGTGCGCCTAAGTCTGCGAGATGGCGCACACTTGAGCAGCTATTGAAAGCAACCAATTACAGCGGGCATGGGCCTTAGCTCATACTGGGCACGCGCCCTATTTGAAGAATGACTTCGATGTTATTATGTATAGTCATAACGACTTCTATGTCACTATGAAAATTAGTGAAGCAATCTGTATTTGATACTAAAACGATATCTAAATTGTTTTGTGTTTTAGGAATGATTTCAATATCGTTATGTTAATCAATGCAATTTTCGAATTAGAATGACATCTACATCATTTTTGTATCTTAGGAACGATTTCAATTTCATTATTTGATTGAGTACATTTTTGTACTAGAACGATATCAACTACTTTATGTCACAGGAACGAAGTGTATATCGTTACGTAAATGTGCACAATATCAACATCCTGGACATGTACAATATGTACACTTGAAATGACTGCTTGTAGTCTTCCCTCGAATTTTTCCATTTCGATTATCAATAAATCAACTATGTTGAGCTCATAAGATACCAGTGGTGGTTGAGATGTATTAAGAGAGTTTTGGTGGAATGCATGATGTGGCTCGGCATCATGCTCAACCTCATCTCCTTTGAAATGGTGTAAAGCATTAACATCTTCTTCCACGATTGGTGTCAACTCTTTCCAATAAACCTCCTCAAGTTCAATTTTAGTGAGAATCAATGTAGAATTAACCTCCAACTGCAAATATTAAATCGTGTAAATCATTAGTCATTTGCCAAGCTAATTCCACAATTTGTCCCCATTAAACATAAAAAAAATGCAATTTACCTATTTCGATTCCAACATGTTATCAATGGCAGCAGAAGCTAACATCTTCGGCATTTCCCAAACGACCATTCTTGGAATTGTATCCCGATATCTTGTAGCAAACTTCATTCTCAAAGTTGGAATCACTTTGAATGTCCAAATCCATTGTAAAACAAACATTAATATCCGACAACACAAATTCATATATAAAAAATAATACAAATTAGGTTTATTTTTTGTTCATACCATTATAGCGAGGGGAAGGCCGTGCAACGAATATCGATCTAAAAACTCGTTCAAGTTAAAAACCAATTGCTTTCACTTGTTATATGTAGTTTACAACAAAAAAACAAACACACAAGCATACATATGTATATAAATTGAACATAAGATAAACTAAATCTGGACTTAATTAGCAATCTACTAAATTTGACAATAAAACATTATTCTTCAACGTATTTTAGAGACAATAAAGCAGATAGAACAATAACAAATATTAGATCCGTAGAGTAAATAAACTACAAATAACCATAAGATTTGCAATGAATTCATTTTTCCCTTAATAGATACAATAACGGTATATATATGAAACATACAAAACCACATAATTAAGAAAACAAAAAGGAAATGAAACCCCTAAGAAATTATTATAGAACTCAATAAAATGAATCTGTTAAACATCAAATGATGATCAAAACTCCAAAACCACCATGCTCCAACATGAATTTCCAATGCAAATATTTGAAAAAGAATTTGAATAAAAGCAACAGAAATGATCTTTATAGCAAAAAATGTAATTTTGAATAAGAACTCATTGTTGTTTTGAAAACTTACATTGATTTTTCTAACTGTGAGCTCGTCGCTTTTTTGGAAACATAGAAACTAGATTTCAACATCAGCCATTGACACATAAAACTGTTAATTTTAAAACTCTACATAATCTTCGACCTCAAAAGAAGGAGAAATATTGTTTTTGACTTAAATGAGAAGTGTTTGGAAATTTGAAGGAGAAGAAGATTTAATTTCATAATTGTGAATTTAGGGAAGAAGGGTTTACGTTAATGAATGAAGGGAAAAGTTAAAATCCTTCATTTATCTAGTTATCCAAGGGAAGGGTAAAAATATATTTTTAATAAGTCCATCACAACAAATTTACAATTATACACTTGACTATGTAATAAATATATTAAAATATCATTTCTATACTTTGTTTATACATTTTTTTGCCTTTGATTTTGTGCGATTTGAGTTTTGTTTTTGGTGTGAAAAAAATCATTTTTACTTTTCTATCATACAAACATAGACACGGAAATTGCCGCCATCTCTGTGAATGATTTTTTTTTACTTGTCGTGTATTTGTTTTTCTTAAGATTTACATATCTATTTTGCATTATGAATTTATTCTAGAAATGGTTTAACTTGTTTACTAGGAATATATCTTCTTTTACAAGTATTATTATTATTATTGAATTTTCATATTCTCCCATGGAAAAGCATTATTCCGAGCATTTCATTGACTCATTATTCATACTTCTTATATTTCCAATCAATTTTTAGTTGTGGGTTCATTTTTCAAGAGACTAAATGAGGATGAAATTTTTTATAAACATGCCTTTTCAAGATTTCTCTCGTTGGGGTTTTAATCGTTTCTCTCTCCCTTTTTGTATGTATAATCAAATATATATTTTCTGAACTGTAATTTTTTGAGATTTGCATTTGTTTTTTGTAATAAATATATTAAAACCCATTTATGTAATTTAACTTAAGGTTATTTAAGTAAATAAGTGGTGTAACTAATAAAATTTGTGGTGGTAATATAATTACCCTTAAAAAATTGGTCAAAGACCTTTTAAAAAAATTGATATTGAGGGATAGCCATCTCAACCAATTCCCCTTTTATTTATCACAAAAATATATGAGTTAATTAAACGAGTGGCCACTGAATTTTAGTATTGATAACCACTTGCTCACCAAAAAATAAATAATTACCAAATGCTCACTCAACTATTCATTAATTTACCCATCCATCATTAGAGCCAATTCCGTTTGTACAGTTGGACAATAAATTTCATGTGGAGATAAAAATGACGTGGCTGAATCATTTCCACGTACTCTAATTTGTTATTTTCTACATAGCCAAAATTGAATAATCTGAAGGAAATGATGGATGTACACCATGCTTGATAGCATTCTAAATGGCCAAAATGGCGTGTGAGGGGGCTGGACGGATAGAATCAAAGTTCATCTATTAGAGAGATTGAAATATTCATCCCCAACTCACTTTCATCTCCAAATCACATTCTCAAACTAATTCAATCTATTGGAAATCCCAGCCTTGTAATCCATATCCAAGTTCTTTATCTACGTCCCCTATGAATTAAAATTTTTAATTGTGCACAGTTCATCCCATATCAGTGTGAACCCCAGATTTTGTCGGAGAAAAAGAGAATTCAACTTGGATTGGAAATCTTCAAGGCAATAAATGGAAGTTGACAAATTGTGCAGTTCAAAAAGAGAAGTCTCTTTAAGATGCTGTGATAGTCCTATGCCATAAAGGGAAAGGAGGTTCTGGTAGTACTCGCATTTTCCGACAGTGGGATAATCGGAGGTAGGAGAAATTTGCTAGGTTGAATTAGGATTTGGAGGGGCTTATTGGAATTCTCAGTACATAACAAAGGTCCTTGGGACATGTAGATGAATTGGTGCTTGAAGTTGGAGAAGAAGAAACTGAAGAAATTAACACCAAAATACAAAGAAATAGACGGAAAATTAAGAAACTAGGTTTCATTTTCATTTTGTTAGTTAAAAAACAAACGGATTCAGACTAAAAGATTCAAGAAACCATAAATGGAGAAAAAATAGAATTCATTCCTCTCTATCGCTGATGGTTCCTAGAAGAGAAAATGGGTGGTGAATAAGATCGAATTTTGGGATGTGGGAGAAAATTTGGAAGGAAGAAGTAAAAAACATGCTTGCTAAATGGAACTAAAATTGCTATTTTACCCATTGCGTTTTTGTCCACCATGTATTCAACTAATGCCGTTATTGCCATGTCATTTTTTCATCCTCCACATGTAGTTTATTGTCCACATGTACAAATGGAATTGACCCTAGTGATGAATGAGTAAATTAATGAATAGTTGGATGAACATTCTGTAACCATTTATTTTTTGGTGAGCAAGTAGAAACCAATACGAAAATTCAATGACCACTCATTTAATTAAATCAAAAATATACTTATTAACCCCATATTTAGCCCAAAATAGCAAAATACATTTATACTTTTGACCCAGATTCAGAACGCCATTGTTATACTGCTCATATGCTTTAAATCGCAACATTTCCATTATCTCTTCTAACATCGTTGCTGGAAAGAGGGGTACATAAAGAAAGAAAAGGTAACATATCACCTGGCATTCTTGTTTCTGGCGATGTTTCACTATCACACACACATACATACACAGATCTAAAAGAATTATATTTCATTCAGTTTTTTTGTTTGATTTTGTTTAGTAATTTTCAGTTTTCCATTTGATATGCACAGACATGCCCTTACTAATACAATGTGGATCTGCTCTTTTACAAATTTTCACAGACGTATTTATGTGGCTCTTGCGTGAATTAGGTCTAAGAACACGATAAAAATGCTGTGATTTCTAAGAATTCTGGTAATTAATAATCATGAGTAGTTGATTCACAAATAGAATATTGATCTTGATCAACAGATTTGTTTATTGCTAATAATATAGGAATGGACTGAGAAAAAGAATTGGAATAATACTAAACTCTTAATTTTGAGGGAAATAAATAGTTACGGGAAGTGACGTTGCTCTAGTTATGTCCTTTTATTTGCCAAATTCATTCCCTTGTTCTGCCAAATCCATGCTATGGTCGACCATTCGTCGACTTGGCGATCGTGTAGTCGAGAGCTTGTGCCGCTGTGTGACATATGCATGTGAAAGTTACTGTTTTTGACAAAAACTGAACTAAAGAATTTGTTTAAATACTACACTTTTGGACGTAGTGTGTGGGTGTGAATGGAAACTTGAAGAATGATTTATTTTCTGACTTTTACTGTTCAATAATTATTTACTATGTTAGGAATTGGATTAATTTTTTATTTTTATTTTTCTGGTTTATGAAGCAGGAGAAGTGATATTTGGTGGAATAGTTAGTGAAGAGAGTCAATATTTGGAAATGGGTCATCTGAAGTCTGATTTATATAGGGATTTAGAACCTCTTAGGTCGGACGATAAACGGTTAGATAAGATTGTAAAACAGTTGGAGAAGGACACAGACATAGAGACATCATACAAGGACTTTGTGCTGGGTCTTTTAACGAAGGAGGAGAGTTGTAGTCCAAGTAAGAGAAAAAGGGAAAAATATGACTGCAATCACGAGGTGAATGACCCACATTATGAACTTTTCTTGCAGAATCTAGAGATACACAAAATGTCTTATGTATTAAAGCATAAGAAAAACAATTCATGCATTTCCATTAGATATGAAGGATATAGTGATTTATATGAGAAGGATGGGAATGAGCTTGGCCTGGAAAAAGGGAGCATCATCAATTCAGAAACGCACCCTGACTTCAGGAAAGAACTCATGTGCATTCTTAGAAAACCATTTGATAGAGAGGAATACAACAAGCTTCAGAATGCTGTCAAAATCCGTAAGGCAGCAGTTCGCCATAGGGAGTTGCGTAAGGGGAGGGACAAAGAATGCTCGACAAATAAACCTGGAAAATCCTATCTTGATCTATATCCTGGTAAGTTGAAGATCTTGGAGTTTCTTTTTTGACATTGAAATATTTCCTCACATTTGATGTTTGTCAGTTGCCATGATATGCAATGGTTTATTACTGTGAAATTAGGGCAAACCTCTTATGTTCCTGAATATCATGATCATTCCAAGATATGATAAAATTTCTCTTGGACAATTATATATGCATTAGCTGTGAAGCACTATTCCTTAAATTGGTGGTAAAACGGCTTTATTATTTGAGAGTGCAAAAACAGCTTCAGTCAGCATTCCACCTAAGTTCCTAGGCAATGTGGTGGTAGAAAACCTCGTTGGTCATTACTTTCCTGATATGGAATTTATCATAGTGTTTTTATCCAGAGACGTTCTTCTTACAAAACAACCCTTAATACTCAGAAATCAAAGTTGATGAGCAAATCTAACAGATTGAATGTTGAACTTTCATTTCTCCATAAAAAAATAAAATAATAAATCTAGTATTTATTTATTTTTTACTGAAAAATACGAAAAGGAAAAGAAAGAAGAAGGGAAGAGTTTGATCCATGTCCTGGATCAGTGGCGGACCTAGCCTTGAAACTCAGCCCGGGCGGACGTTGACCGGTCAACGTCGACAGTGAGTGATCGTAAGACCGAGATTGTTTATTAATATTTAATTAAATAATATTAAAAATTACTTAACATATATGTAAACGCACTAAAACGTAAAAATTATATATATATGAAAACGTAATTCAATACAATCCAAAATACTAAAGAAATACGCAATACAACATTCATAAATCCAATTCAAAATCCAAATTTCCAATTCCCCCAATTCCAATTCCAAACCATAACCCTAAATCCAATTCCAATTTCAATTCCAAATTTCCAATTCCCCCAATTCCAATTCCAAATTCAATTCTAAACCCTAAACCCTAAATCCAATTACAATTCCAATTCAAATTAGCTTGAACAGATCACTTGTGAGTTACGAAAAAAAACACTCAAAATTGTTAATTCTTGTTCACCAAGAACTCATCTTTCTTCCAAAAAACAAAAACATTCAGAATCAAGATTTTTCATCAACAGAGCCGGAAAAAAAAATGAATTGAAGCAAAGCTTCGTCTGGATTTTCACAAAACTTGAAAAAAAAAAAATCAAAAACAAGAACTAGACCACCTACTTTTCCACTACAAGAAGGTAGAGAACGAGAGAGTTCGATTACCTGAAAGGGCTATACAAAATTGTATCACATACCGCAGCTTCAGTCGTCTCCTTCATCCTCTGCCGGTTTCAATATATGCAATTGGTTTTGTCTTGTGGATAATGGATACCCACATATGATATATCCATGGATACCATGGGTTGGGCCAATTCATTGGGCCTTATTTTTTTAAAAAAAGGCCCAAACAATGGAAAAAAATTCAGGCCCAACCGCCCAATCCTTCACTTCTTCCCGCCCAATCCTTCTCTTCTTCCCGGCGTCTTCTGCACTTCTACCTGGTGGACGGCGGTTTTCCTGAAGCTCCCTGCGGATCCAGCACGGGCGGCCGCGGGGGCTCGCTAGGTGCTGGGTCCGCCCCTGTCCTGGATTTGTGATCTGCCGATTTCCACTGACCTATAGCATAAGGTCTGGCATGTCTCCTACGTGAATTTAACGAGTAAAAATGTTCTAAACAAAAGAAAAAATGTGGTCTACTCTAAATTTGTTTTGTCTGTCTATCATCTTCCCTTTTCTTACTTTTTCGTACACCAAATCGTCTTGTTTTATATGTGCTGCTTTGTTAAATGAAAAGCTTCATTCTGAGAGTTAACGTACATTTGTTTATTTTCACTTTATTTGAATTTTTAGTCTATTGTTTTGCCTGTCGATAATCTTCATTTTTCTTACTTTTTTGTGCACCAAATCCTCTTGTTTAATGTGTGCTGCTTGTTAAATGAAAAGCTTCATTATGAAAGTTAACGTACATTTGTTTATTTTGACTTTATTTGAATTTTTATTCTATTGATGCATATTTTACACTTAGCTAATCTAAGATATATATCTTATTGCATGCAGATTTCAGAAAAAAACTATTAAAATTCCATGATGATCAACCAAGGTGCTTGAACCTCTTGCGTGGGTTCTTCTTTTGGCTTCAAGTGAGTGTAACATTTTCACCTCATCTTTTGGAAACTCATTTGAATTGAACCTAGCTCGTGAAAACCCTTTTCTGACATGACATGGTGAATGTTGACAGTTAATTTTGAACTAAAAAACTTTTGTTTTATGTTGAATCAGTGTCTAACGAGGGAAGGAGCATTCAAACCATGGAATGATCCGAAATTTCTTGCAGTGGACCAAATGCGTCCTCAGCTAAAAATCAAACAAGCAACGAAGTAATGAAAGGAAAATAGCTTACTCTTGTGGAAGGAATGCATTTTGTCTTAATCTCAAGATTATTCTGGTTCAAAACTTGTTAAATTGAAATATATATTTGGAAGAGGAGAGTTTAGTGGATCTTGTATGCATAATACTTTTGCTGGTAATGGTTACCATGAGGAGATAAATTCCCTTAGTTCTGAAAGTGATTCTGAATGCCTTTTCTGTGACTTGAGTTATTGCCTTTCGGTTTTTTATTGTGTTGTTTCTTGTTTTATTGAGCTGTAATATATATGTTGTCTGTTGAGTACTGAAATGATTCAGATAATCATCTTCAATGGACTTCCAGCCATCATAAATTCTGCAATTGTCATGTTCTTCACTGTCTTGCTAAGAGTCTCCTTGAGACCGTGATCTGTTAGGCATAGGTCTTGTGAGGCTGATCCCATGCATCTTGTCTTGTTTAAGCAGATACAACAAGAGGCAAATGAAGAACTTTCTCTTCGTGATAGTAATTTCCCAGTGGAATTTAGGGAGGATCAGGGAGGTGATCATTCCCTTGAGCTGCATACGGGTGAATGGGGTACCCCTTGGTTTTGCATGTTCCTTAGTAGCTCTTGCATGACAATATTGGTGATATTTCTCATGTTAATGGCCATAGCGGCCACTTCCCTGGTGAGTTTGGCTACTAACCTTGATCTGCCTCGTCGATGATGCTGATTAGGTCGAGGATGGACTCTTGGAGAGAAATGCGAGGGTTCTCCTTCTTCAAGGTGTTACTTGGCTCTCCGAAGTGCTGACTCTCCATTATTGGAGCTCGTGATAATTTGTCTTTCTTCTTAATCAAATAATACTCCTTTCTCAAAGAATATACCAAGTTCCAATAAACGATTTCCTTGGGTTTTTTTACTGTTCTCCAAGAACAAACCCTATTTCTTCCTATAACTTTTTCCACAGGTTTTTCGTGGTTGAATATATATCGTTTCCCACCGATGACTTCAATCCGTTGACCCCATATTTTGTAATGATTACGTGGACAACAGATATCGGATTCACTTGCACCTTCGCAAGCAAATTCTTGCACATTTTGACCGAATATTTGGGTGGGTTAGGATTTTTTATGGATGTAGGAGATGTTTTACACTACGAGACAAAAATGTTCAAATTAAAGATAGTTACACATGAACAAAACATTCGTCAACTCAAACAAAACTGGGGCAATTTAACTTAAGCAAATAATTATGAAGTAAGCCATTAAGTGTAGAAGGTTTTATTATTTTTCAAATGGTATAAGTTGCGAACTTTTATAAGTTTTGGCAAAAGTTGTAACCGTTGGATAACAACCACGTGGTCTCATCTCTCCGGTCGAAGCATCGCATCATTCAGTTTGCTATGCATTTAATATATTGACAAGGGGTCAGTCACCCAATACCCTAGGCTGACAATCTTGATATTTTTCATTACAAACGTTATATCAATCATTCCTAAATATTGCCTACGGATCCTCTAAAGGACGACAAAGGCTTCATCCTCGAAAAACTTCTTATTGAACGTCTTCGGTGCGAGGAACTTCAGCTTCTTCTTTGAGGACTTCGGCCAAAAAGGGGGGCTTAGCTCTTTGACCTTTTTATTTTTATCAATTGAGTCTTTGTCAACTTGACCAGGTTTGGCTGACAGCTTCAAATAGACTACGACATGGTCTGCTGATTAGAGCATCGGTGATGAGCCACAACAGAAATCACATTTTCTCAATCACTTTAGGATATGAAACTTCGAGGTTTTCTTTTTCTTTTTGTGAATAATTTTCCAATTTCTGTTCATCGCTAGTTCTCTTTTTGCTATTGCGGAATTTCCACAAGGCGGGTAGTTTCTTCATTCAACTTGTTGGGGAAGAGTGAGGCTAAGGTTTCTGTATTGTACCTAGCTAGGAGTTCTGTTGAGACGCAACCCCCTTGGTGAACCCCCACATTGGCGAACCAGCTGTTAGCTTCGCCTCGCTTAAATAACAGCTTCACCTAGGTGAAA